GTAGTATTTATTTCTGTTTTCTTGCGTGCTGGTCTGAAAAAAGATTTTCAAAACGAGGGCTGAAAAAGTGTTTTAAAGTACGTATGTCTACAATTACCCCATTAACTTACAGCTCACCTAAGAGTTCATGTTTCAGACCTCGGAAGGATCATGCTGAACTTTGCTAAACGATAATCCCGATCCCGCTCAGTAAAATAAGTTAGCCACTCAATTAAATAAGCTAGGCCATGCTTGTGGCCCAGAGCTGCTTTATGCATTTTTTGCACCTATGCAGTGCAAAAAACGCATATTGACGAAAGGTTGTCTGTGTGTGTGTCCGTGTGTGTGCGAGTCTGTGTGTGCATCTATACCGATTTTTCATCTCAAGACCTACAAAAGCTACAGGGCTGAAACTTTGAGAATTTAATCTACATGCATGTACGGGCCCGCCAAAGTTTTTCGGCAGGGAAGCTGCCAATTCGGGAACAAGAAAAGCTAGAAAGCTGAAATTTTAACGAGATGTTTTCCATCCAAGCAGGTATTAATAAACTCAAAACCAGTTCCTCTCCCCCCCCCTACTCGTCCCTCCCCCCCTCTCCTCGGGTGTGCGTGGTTTCCATGCGCGAGCCCGTGAAAGCTTTTTTTCGGGTAGATTGCTAACTCGGGAATCTGAGAAGCTAGAAGACTGAAATTTTAAGGGGATGTTCCACATCCAAGCAGGTATTAATGATCTCAACCGCAGACACCGGGTATGCGTAATATCCACGTACGGGCCAGTGAAAGTTTTTTACGGGCAAGTCGCTAACTTGGGAACCTGAAGAGCTAGAAGACTGTAATTTTGACGAAATGTTTCCCATCCACGTAGGTGTTAATGAGCTCAAATTCAGACACCGGTTGTACAAAGCTCCTATGTACGGCCAGTGAATTTTTTGCGGGTAAGTTACTAACTTGGGGGCCAGGAAGGCCAGAAAGCTGAAATTTTAAGGAAGTGTTCCTTGACAGTTCTGGCGCCCAGTCTTAATTCGTTTCGCTAGAGGCATCTGCAGAAAAACCGGCAGCGTTAGCGACAAAAATCTGCGGGGAACTATGCAAAAAACGCGTCTTCGCATCAGCAGTCGGTGCGCTGGCCATTCATTTTTGACTTTTTAAGGGGAAGCAAAGAGCTGGCAGAGGAAATACAATCTCTTTAGTCCCTGAGTGGACTTTACAATGAAAATAAAGTCAAAAATTTATAATCAAATGACTTCTCTAAAAAAGAATTATTCAACAAACTGTCACAATTTTCACTGCCCATAACAGGACGGAAGAGTATCCGTAAAAAATGAGGGTGGCTTTGAGGCAACGTTTACTTTCATAAAGTCTAGCACAGCTTATATTAAGCCCAATCGCATAGACAATGCGTACAGAGCTCCGTATTGTAATCCCCTAGGAGTAGGTTAGGCTCTGTAACAAAATAACAGGATACAAACGATCCCCTTTGCGCAAAAAACGAAATGAGTGTCCGAGCACAGTCCCCCTTTACGAAACGAGTCCCCCTCCTCCCTTACGTCGGTCATATTCGAAAGCGGATGAATTAATCCGAAGCCAATAAAAGCTGCTGTAAAAAAAAATGCAAAACTGAGAGCTGGAAATACTCATTCACAGATAAAAATAACCACACAGCTCTGCGTATGTTCTGCACCGAATATCAAAACTGTGTAAAATTTCGCTGTTATAACCTGATTGAGTAGGGCATCATAGATGTCGTTGAATTCCGTGTATACGTGTGCTATGCCAACCAATTCGCTACATTCCGGATCGACCGCTGCTGCTCCCTTCAGCAGCACTTTGGCCATTTGGCTTTTTCCGTCTGAAAAAATCTTTAGCAAATCAATTTGATGATTTGTCCTTTACGAAGCGGCAAGTGAACTGTTATGTGTCCAAACCAGAATACATCTTTCTTTAACAGCTGATATGAAGCCCTGCAATGAGGACTGCTAGGTAGAAAACAGGCTACACAAATAGCAGAAACAATTCAATAAAGAAAGCAATGAAAACAGCGGTGCTGCGGACAAAGCGCAATGGCAAGTGGCGCTGAAATTCGATTTTTAGGCTTCACACTGAGACAACCAAACACTCTTCATTTGTCCGCTAGTATTTGCACATTCGGATAATCAAGTCTTCTTTTAAACAACGCTCAAAAGACAGAGCACTGATGGTAAAGCTCCTGCCACAGAATGGACTACTTTCGAGTGCTTTTGCCCCTCATAAAAGGTGCATTTGAGGAAGAGGGAGGAGGGGAATAAAAAAGCAACTGGGTTGACTTTTTATGCGTTTTTTGCAGCAATGCAATGCGAAAAACGCATATTAACGAGAGGTTGTCTGTGTGTCCGTGTCTGTGTGTGCGTCTTTTACGCACTTTCATCTCAGGACCTATAAAAGCTGCGGAAATCGAAATTTCGGGAACTTAATCTACATGCACGTACCGCCCCCAATCCCCAAAATGGGCGCCAAAACCAGCGTACTACCCCCGTAAGGGCCCGCTAAAGTTTTTTTTGGTGTCAGTTCATAACTCGAGAATCTGAGCAGCTAGAAGGCTGAAATCTTGGGGTAACGTTCCCCGCCCAACCGGGTATCAGTGGGCTCAAACCCAGCCCCGGGTAGGCGTGGTACCCGCGTACGAGCTCGCCAAAATTTTTTTCGGGTAATTTCATAGCTCGGGGGTCTAAGAAGCTAGAAGGCTGAAACCTTGGGGTAATGTTCCCCGCCCAAGCGGGTATTAGTGGGCTCAAACACAGCTTCTAGCTTCTCAGATCCCCGAGTTATGAACTTATCCGAAAAAAATTTTGGTGGGCTCGCACGTGGGTATCACACTTACCCGGGGGCTTGGGGGCCACGGAAACTAGTAAGCTGAAATTTTAAGGGGATGTTTCCTGACAGTTCTGGCGGTCAGCCTTAATTTGTTTAGCTAGAAGCATCTGCCGAAAAAAA